TGTAGGGTGTGGCGTGCCCTGAGCACCCGGTGACCTCACCGGGTGCTCAGGGCACGCCACACCCTACAGGCTCAGGACCTGAAAGGCTGGCTCTAGAAACCGTGTGTCCAAACCAGTAGCACACGTGGCTGCCGGGGGTCACTGTGGGAGCCTATGTGCTGCATATTGTGAGCTCTGCCCCCTTCTCCCCGCTGGCCGGCCCCATGCGACGCTAGTGCCCCGTGAGCCACTGGATCAGTCCAGTGCTGGGATTTCTCCAACAGCAGGCAGCTGACACAGGAATCCCCGCTGCCACCCCACACACTCACACCCTGTTTGGAACGTCCCAGCATTGGGCTAATTCTATGATCTCCTTGCAGGCCATAAATTCATGAGCTACACAGCCCCACAACTGCACTCACGACCTCCATGCTGCCGCTCCAAGCCAGGGGAGGGCTATGGTGTTGGAGCCATGGGGGCCCTGTGCCATGGGGGGCCTATGGCCCCCGATTGAGGACAGATGCTGTGCTGGCTGGGAATGCCGCATGCAGGATCCCAGCCCCTCCTAGGAGGCGCCTAGGGGCTCAAGGGGAGGCTGGTTATACTTTGGTATTTAAATACACTGTTGTGTCACCCTGCCACCCTTCCCAAGTCTGCCACCAGAACCCAACTGCGGGGCACCCCCAGCCCAGGCCAGGAGCCCCTGACAACAGTGGCTGTGGGGTGAGGAAGTGAGGGGGGCTTAGCACAAAGCAGGGTGCTGGTCCTGACTCTGCCACTGATTCCCCATGCGAACTTGAGCAACTCACCTAGCCTCTGTGATGCTGTAAACTGGGGTTAGTCTTTGTGGAGGGCTTTGAGATCCTCGGATGAGAGGCATTAAGGACGGTCCAGCTGTTGTTATACATCAGCATCACCAATACACAGCTAAAGCACCTCCTGCCTCTTCTCCTCCCCTGTCCTCAGCCACCCCGGGCCTTCCTGGCTAGTTCTCCCACACCCCCGCTCTAGTCCCATCCCTGTCCCACTTGTCGCATTCCAACCCCACCATCCGCCCCTTGGCCCTCCCAGGCGAGCTGAGACCCAGGTGCAGAAAGGAGACTACTGCAAGGAGTGACAAAAACTGAGCACAGTCACTCCAAGCCCCAGCAAGCCAAGCAGGGCCCTGAACCCAAACCCGTGAGCTGGGGTGGGAGGGTTATAGCAGCATTTGGTGTCTACGCATTGGATAATGGGGTCATGATCCTTAACTTCAACTTGCTTAACCAGAATTGAAACAACTCTGGAACAGGTATCTGGGTGCCTCTCCCCCCCCCCACCACCTTTTCAGCATTCTCACACTATAGATCGTTCTCCCAAAGCTTCTCTGAGCCCGCTCCACTGCAGGCCATAGCCAGAGCTTAAATTCTCTCCAAATACTTCCTGGAGCCCCAGGGCTTGCGGCTTCAGCCCCACAAGAGGTGCCAGGCTTGGGGCTTCTGCCTCGTGGGGTGTACGAGGGCTTGGGGCTGGATTGGAGTGACCTTGACGTTCAGGGAAGTTCAGATGCGGGATTCAGGTTTGGCCCAGGTCAGAGACACAAGCCACTCATGAGGCTTGGGTGTGGATCTGGGAGCGGCCTTCACAGATTGGAGTGTGTTTTGAACTTGGATGTTGTTGGTGCACCAGTGCAGACATTTTTGCTCTACTATGGCAAATATTTGGCTGTGAAACCCCGCTGCTCAGTGCCTAACAATGGAATCATAGATTTTAAGGGCAGAAGGGACCACCATGTCATCAAGCCTGATCTCCTGCGCCATTCATTCCATAATTTTCTGTCCTATCCGTTTCCATTTCATCCTCCTCCATAGCTCTTCATCTGTGAATTTTTTTTGGCCCTCTGATGTTGAAGATTTGTCTAAGGGAGCTGCTTTTAAAAACTTGAAGTTTAGTTAGTAAGAATGTAATAAGTCTCCAAGTTTCAGCGCCATATGGTAAGATAGATTTTACAGTGGTGTTAAATATTCCAAGTTTACTTCAGAGGGCAAGGTTTCTGTTACTCCGGCACAGCTTTAGGGTTGCAAAGGCTTTCGCTAGTCTGCCTTTCATGTCTTTGTCTGTTCCACCTGCTTTGTTTACGGTGCTGCCAAGATCTGTCAAGTGTCAGACCTCTTCTCTGTCAATCCCAGAAAAATGTTACTGGTCGTTCTCGTGTGTTGATTCTTTTGCTTTTAATTTTTTGCAGCTGGCATTGGCCTGTAATCCCCAGGGCAAGAGGCAATGGGGCAGACCAAAGACGATGGAAAACACGTAACAGAGGCAGAACTGACAACTATCAAAATGACGTGGGAAGAAGCTAAGACTGCAGCAAGAGACTGCCAAAAATGGAAGGCGGGGGTGAAGGCCCCATGACCCGCATGGAATAAAGAGGCAAAGGTCAAGCCATTACGTATCACCTGCCTGTTACAAATCAGGCTTAGGGGCACTGATACAAATGACTTCACACTCTCCCTGAGGAAGTTACAGATCACAGAGGAAACCTAGCCACTTTATAGGGAAAAGCAATCCATTTTCTAATGATGCCCCCCACAGCTCTGGAATAACCTGGGATACAAAGAGACAGGTCTGGTTTTAATACAAAAGAAACCATAGAATCATAGAATATCAGGGTTGGAAGGGACCTCAGGAGGTATCTAGTCCAACCCCTTGCTCAAAGCAGGACCAATCCCCAACTAAATCATCCCAGCCAGGGCTTTGTCAAGCTGGGCCTTAAAAACCTCCAAGGAAGGAGATTCCACCACCTCCCTAGGTAACCCATTCCAGTGCTTCACCACCCTCCTAGTGAAATAGTGTTTCCTAATATCCAACTTAGACCTCCCCCACTGAAACTTGAGACCATTGCTCCTTGTTCTGTCATCTGCCCCCACTGAGAACAGCCGAGCTCCATCCTCTTTGGAACCCCCCTTCAGCTAGTTGAAAGCAGCTATCAAATCCCCCCTCCTTCTTCTCTTCTGGAGACTAAACAATCCCAGTTCCCTCAGCCTCTCCTCATAAGTCATGTGCTCCAGACCCCTAATCATTTTTGTTGCTCTCCACTGGACTCTTTCCAATTTTTCCACATCCTTCTTGTAGTGTGGGGCCCAAAACTGGACACACTACTCCAGATGAGGCCTCACCAATGTCGAATAAAGGGGAA